TCAGCAACAAAATAAAAATTACAAACAAAATACAAACCACCACCACCAACAACAACAAAAACAACAATGCGGCTACTTTCGATTGTGAACTCTGAGGAATAATTTGTTTTCTTCTTCTTGATCAGTCCTGCCTAAGACGGCCACCTGTCTTATACGGTCACTTTTCTCCTTGACAATGGGTGGCCGTCTTACACAGGTTTGACTGTATTATATACCGTATATTCTTTCTTGAACAAAAGAAAATTCTCGCTGCTAATGTCAGCATTATTGCTTTTTCGTTTTTGTTTTTTGTAAGTTTCTTTATTGTTTGTTTTTAGTTGTTGTTTTTTTTATGTGTCTTTTTATCCCTCTTTGTCGTGCATATTAATAGATCAAGTACAGAAAATCTACTAAAGATATATGAATGTCGTGTTCTTGAACTTTGCAATTCAATGCAATGCTGAGCACGGTACTGACTGAGCGTGCCGCAAGCCCAATGCACAACAACATTTTCTGTCTAGCATCTGGTTTGGATTTTATGTTTGTTAAACAATCGCTCTGGAGAAAATGAACTCGCGTCTCCTTATCAGCAAGTCTTCGTGTTAACTCTTTTTGGACGTTAACGGACACAACATTTCCGACAGCAGAATTTATACAATTATATACACAAATCTGAAACACACGAATGTATATAACAGATCATATTATTTCATAGCGTATATTGCTGCTTGCCTTTTTTTACGTTTCAGGTTGTTGTTTTTTAAATCTGAATTTAAATAGCTGCATGAATAAAGAAATTCTACTTGAAAACAGCACGTCCTCAAGCGTTGTCAAATGACCAGAACACAAGTCTTCGAAGGGTTAAATTATATACAATGTAATGTAATAGCTCCATTTTAACCATAATGCCGAGTCTGCCACGTATTTTCTCAATTCTCAGACCTCAGTTTTTAAAAAGTTACCAAGTATCAAAGGGGGTGAACATCAATAGCCCCAATTACGCCATGGTGGGTTACCTTTTCTTCATTAGTTTTATTTTTTTTCGGTTTTGACAATAATTTAAATCTTTTTTTCTTTCACGTGTAATAGTAATAGCTTTCGAGGCAAGTGTTGCCTTAGCCTGCAAAAAACTCCAGTTTGGACATTAGAAAGAAACATTCCCCCCCTTCATTTTAATCAGTCCTGCCCAACAGGGTTGGGTTCATTTAAATCAGGTTGATTTAAATCAGTTGATAAAAAAAAATTAAATCAACTTGATTTTTAAAATAAAAATCAGTGACTTAAATCACTTTTTTTAAAAGTTTAGTTTTATTCAGTTTTTACATACATATTTCAACATTCGGAATTCCTTTCCTTGGTTTCATAAAACAGATATAAGGTTTAGTAGACTAGATCTACTATAATCATGCTTTAAAGTCTTCTTTTTCCCCTTTAACTGTAAAATAATACAGTAGGTCTATTCAAATTAATTTACTTTTTTTCCGTATTGAAATCAGAGCTGGGTTGATTTAAATCAGTTGATTTTTAAAAATTTTAATCAGTGATTTAAATCACGTTTAAAAAAATGTATTCAGTTTTTACATATTTAAACATTCAGAATTCCTTTCCTTGGTTTTATTAAATAGATATAAGGTTTAG